ATAATACTTTATCTTGTAAGTTTTAATTCATCCTGAACATGAAATTTCACAAGACAATGAAATAGTATTTTCTTAATCCTAATAACCTCCTAACTATGTTAGTTACTCAATATCGTATACATATTGATAGAAAACACACTATTTACGTCAATCGTGTTTACATAATTAGGTGAGATTTTTATCCGTTATTCAATCAATACATATATGTTTACATAAACTTGTCCCCTCACAGCCAGTCCGCACCCCTCCCCCCCCCCACCACATCTTCCACCAGTAAACTGAGTAACTCAAACAAAGAGACAATAGCGCATCTAAATGAACAACTGTTAAATTTCCATAAAAGATAAGAAAAGTAAAGCTTAAAAGCACTAAAAGGATCATGAGTGGGTGGGTGAGTGAGTGGTTGGTTGGCTGGCTGGCTGGCTGGCTGGCTGGAGGATGAAGACATCTCATACAATAAGATTAGGTAGGATAGATTTTATCTTTAGATCATTTAATAATCTGATAATTTTTAATGGCTGTCTTAAAAACCCAACACATTAAAGAAGAAAAAAGATTGTTTTTACACGATTCACTTAACTAATTGCGTGCAATCATTTTGGCATGATGACGACGATCTTGAAGGCTTAAATAGCTTCTGCTGGTTGACGGTGATGTGATTGATGACGGTGATAATAAAAAAAAGAAAGAAATTATTTGTTAGGGCAAAAAATAATCATGAATGAATAGATTAAAAGAAACCATGAAGGAATATTTTTGTTACACTGTGAGAAAATTTCTAAGTAATAATGTCTGATCTGTAACAATTAACAATAAGCTAGTTATGTCAACCCAATTTGTGATTCATTATTAATTGTTACAATAGGTAGATTAAAAAGTGAACACATTTCATTCAGTGCTTTGACAAAAGTGATAAAAGTGATAAAGTTATCAAATGGGCAATTATTGCGAATAATTATAAAATGACAAGTGATATGTATAACTTCCTAACATGCACGCATGTCATAAAACGGAGTTTTCATATATAGATTGAACAAAGAAAGAGAATTAAGCAAGTTTTGCACACTATTTAAAACAGTAAAAGTTAACTAATGAGATGTCGTTTTCTAAGTGTCACTTCCCCTTTAGTATAGTAAAAGTAAATGAAGTCTGGTTGAAATCACCTCTCAGTTTAATCACATAAAATGTCTTTACAAGTTGGTCATGGATTGACATCAGTTAGAGAACCATTGAAAACCACAAGGTGGGAGCACTGGACAGCTGTTTCCTCGATCCTAGTTTGAGAATCATAAGCAGTACGCAACCGATGAGGTTTGAATGCTATATGAGCTTGCCATGTAACCGGTAGGTCCTGCGTTCAAACCCTGTTGGTGGGGTGAGGATGAGTACTGCCAAGGATTTCCAAACTAGGATGAAACAGCTGTCCGGTACTCCTTTTTGGTTTTCAATGATCCCCTAACTGATATAAATCCGTGATCAGCTCGTAAAAACAAAACTAATCCTTACAAACCAACTATAGAAAATATAAAAGGTCTTTAAATAAATGGAGGTCAAATGAGAACTTAATATACAAACCATTGAAATGATCACATAAGCTGAAATATTTAACCTGGTTATAGATAGTCACATTTCTGACAGGGAGATTTTAGATCAGTCAGACACCAATTAAACTTAATGTTTACTTCGATAAAACTTAAAAATTGCATATTAAAGAACATACTTGTGACCTTGTGTAAGTGATACTTGTGTAAGCTATACATGATCTTAGCTTAAAGAGCTGGGAAGCGATAGCTTATATGACTTTGAATATTATGTCATTTCTGTTTTTTGTGTGCTTCATAGACCCATAGTTTATATACATTAAACTGGACACTATCTGGTCACCTACAGTCGTCTTCTATAGACCTTTTATTTGTCCTACAAGATTAGATTCAATTTCTGAGTGATTGGAAACTCTGGTATTCACAATGATATTCAAATTAGTATTGCTCCACTGCATGGATTTCTAAAAAGTTATTTCATTTACGTGTACTTTCCTAGGGAGGACAGTAAAACTTCAAACATCATTTCTAGCAGTTGATTATCTGCATTCTATAACAGTTTGAATTAAAGAAAAATGTCCAACAAGTAAATGAAATTAACACCTCTAGAATGATACTACATAAACAGAGAAATTAGGCAGTAGTCATGTGATAATTTGATGGATGGTGACTAACAGTAGAATCCAGGATGTACATCTCGTCCTATTTGGAACTCGTCAGATGGATGTAATTGCATTCCACAGTGAGTGACGATGTTCTCTCTTCGAACACCCAAGTGTTATCCACTAAATCATTTGAGCCAAGGGGGGCCACATCTTGTTCAATTGGAGTCACTTATTATTTATTTTTAATTCACTTTCGATTTTCCTGTTGATTGATTTTGACTGAAATGTGTCAGCTCGTAGTCAACAGATGCTAAACTTGTCGATCCAGTCATTCAATCAGAGACTTTTCTAATTCCTGTACGTTTCCAGCGGAACATAGGATGGCTTCAAGCTAGAGATCCGAAGTTTCGGTAACAGTGGTGTTCATTTTTACGGGATGGGGTTGCTAGCCTCATGCCCAACATTCCCTCTTTACAAATCTTATTACTGGCTTAGCGATGTAAAGGAATGCGTTGGCTGGGGATCGAACCCCGAACCACACGAGGTGTGGTTGGTGAGTATTCTACCCCTGTGCCACCGACACATTAAAGATAAGCAGTATTAATGTGAACATTTTTTTAATTTTTGGAGTGTACTGACTAATTTATTGAATCTTCACTAAAGGTGTGGATTTCACCACCGATTGCAAAATAAAATTCTCTAAATTTGTAAATTTGCCGTGGTTATGAGTATGTACAAGCATGTAACTTATGTTCAACGCCTCTAGACACTTAATTATCGACCAACCAACAACTCATATCGTTTAAGCCGATAGTTGGGAACCTCATAGATTAGTGTTACACTTTGGTTAGACCGATCTTAACTTTTTACGAACTTCAATCACTGATTTGTTTTTCATACATCACAACCTATAAGATTCTATAGTGAAAACATGTAAACTTTTCATGTCCTTTTCGGTGAACACCCACGCTTCATAGAAGTAATGCTGGATATGCTGGAATACCCTGCCGTGCAGCTATCCTGTCATAGGTAGTCAAATATGTCGCTAGTATGTAGAATATCACAATGTGATAAGTACTGAAAGTTGAACAAGTCTGAGATGAGAATTTCTCAGTAAAACGTATTGGATGTGTAAAGCGACCAGTGAATTTCACCACCACCATACTTTAAATCCTTAAAAATGAAGTGGCCAGTAATTCATTTACTATTTATTTGATGTAAAACCATATCATGCTGACTGTTTGTGAGATTATCAACGTGTGGGTAATGTCATATGGGGATTGAACATTCTTGAAGTACTCTTGGCAAACAAAATACAACTGTATCTTTTAGATTTTATTCCTGACGCACTGATTATGAAAGATATTACGTGTTTCTGGTAAGCGGAATTATTCTAGTGGATGTAAATACGATTTCACTAGTACGCACCCACCCCACCGACATGGTTCGAACCCACAACATTCTGGTTGCAAGGCCAGAGAGCTCGTTGACCTTTCAGCCACTCACTGGAACCCACCCTACCCAAAGGCCAGCCCATAAATTCTAACTTCTACCAATTCATGACATAGCTCATGGTGAGTTCTTCAAATCAGTCGAACACGACTCCTACAAAATCAATACTTGAAAATTGATATGATGCTCACGAGCGACCGGTCCTATTCAGGCAGTTAACCTGAGTTTGTAAAAGGAAGCCGTGACCAGTAGGATACAGCAGGTTGAAGGTGAGGCAGTAACTCATCGGGGAAGGCATCGACTAGTGGTCGCACTATGTCATAAATTGGCAGAAGTTAGAATTCATGAACTGGCCATTGGATCGGGTGGGTCCCAGTGAGTAGCTTAATGGTGTATCAGCTCGCTAGCCTTGTAACCAGAAGGTCGTGGGTGCGAATCCTGTCGGTGGGGTGTGTGAGTACTGCTGAAGCAGAGTTACAAACCATGCTGACGAAACAGTCGGCTGTACAGTACTCTCTGTTGGTTTTCCAATGGTTCTGCCCCTGGTGTCAGCTCTTGATGAAATCCTCCAACCAATCAAACAAAAAATCCCTACAAAAACTAATACTTGTAAATACGATTTACCCTCATATTTTACCAATAATTATGCAATAAAAGTGAGTATGTTCTATGAGTCTGTTCACAACAGATGTATTGTACTTCTCAAAAAACAGAAGCAATATACTGAGATTCTATTAATACTTGCTATTAGGATATAATATCTAACCTCTCATTAAACGTAGAGAAATAAGTAATATTGTTTCCAAGTATGACTTCTGCATGTGGTGTAGTCATCCTTCTTTATCCTTAGGATTATATACTGTTGAAATATTTCACAGAGGATGGATAATATGCTAAGAAGTAAAAAATTCAGTTAAACACCTCAAAGTGATTCACTCCTCTTCATAGTGATTGTCTCAACTCAAAAAGGCGCAGAAGTTTAATCTTTTGCTTGTCTAACTCAAAATGATAAATTGACAGAAATGAATTCCGTCTCTTAGTAGCCAAATGATCGACGAGTTCTCCTCATAACTTGAAGGTACTGGATTCGAACCCTTTGCCTTGGTTGCATACTACTGAAAAGCCCCAAAATAGGATGAAACAGCTGTACAGTACTCTCAGGTTTTCCCAGTGGTTCTGTAACTTATCAAATCCCTGCAAACCAATACTAGAAACGTACTCATTTTTGACATGAATTACTTCAGAATATGAGAACTAGTAAAATTATCTATATATTATTATTGTTATTATCGTCATTACTGTTTCATCAACACTATTCATGACAATACATGATTAATTATGAAAAGAATGAATCAGCAATTTTTATTCATTGTAACAGATAGATAGATAGATAGATAGATAGGTGAAGAGTTAACTAATAACAATATCAAATTAGGTGTAAATTTTATATATGTTTAAAAGAGGAGAAAAGAAAACTAATTAATTAATTAATTAAAAGTACACATGAACACTGATAACACAGTGAAAAGTTATTTTACTACGATATAGACTAGATGCTAAAAATTATTGAACATTGAACGACCATTGAATATGAATAAAGATAGTTAGATTGATAGATATAAACAATTGAAGAAGAAGGAATAAATAAATAAAATTTTAACTCAAATAACTGAAATAAATTATCAGAAAACAAAATGTGTCTATATTAGCAATAATACTATGAAGGTTTTTATCACGACTAGTGATCATTCAAATTTTGGCAAAATTGAACCTTGAATTGAAAGATCAAAAAAGTTTGTTCTATTTCTTTCTTTTGTTTTTCCTTATGCAATACGTGTTAACAGATTTGCTGTCACTGCATTAAGTGCTGCCATAATTTTACTTGGATCTTTATTATCTTTTAGAATACGACGATGTACTTCAAGAAGATCGGCGAGATCTGAAGCATCAATTCCTCCGGAAGTTTTATTCATATGTAAATTTGATAGGATTGATTCTGTGTTAGACGACAGTCTATTCTCAAAATTTGAATTTACCACCGCTAGTGGAACTGAATGCAATGGAAGGGTTGATGCTGCTGCCGGTGTTGTGGTGGTCAGTAGGATGTCAGCTGGAGAATTATTGATCGTTGAGGTAATAGTAGATGTATTATTCACAGATGATTGAGACATTGCAACTGGTACAGATAATAAAGACGGGGATGATGAAGGTGATGATTGTTTTGAATGACAAGATGTGTCAGCATCTTCACTTCTATTATTCTTGTTATGATACCAGGATGAAATGCTAAGATCCGTGGGATTTACAGAATCATTTGAAGCTGGATTCCTTATGTCGGCATTATTAAGGCAGGCGTCTGGATTTAAATAATTCTTTGGGAGATTAAAATTACATAAAGGTAATAACGGATTACTTTGAAGATAATTTACATTCGATTGAAGATAACTATTAGCCATCCATGATTCAATTGATGATACCGTATTCATAAAATTTTTCAAAGGAAATTCACATCCAGCACTTGTAACATTATGTGAGGCTGTAGAATTAACATCATATGTAGATGTTTGTAGCTGTGTCATTGGAGCTTCATTTATCTCTGGTAGAATTATACCAGTCTGTCTTGAAGACATCAATTCATCAGAGGTGGTAGTAATATTTGTTGTTGGTTTATAGTCAATAGCAATTTGACGTTTCCATTTATTACGACGATTTTGAAACCATATTTTGACTTGTGTTTCTGTCAGCTGTAATGTCCTAGCTAAGCCGACACGTTCAGAACTAGATAGATAACGTTTCATAGCGAATGTTGACTCCAGTCGGTAAACTTGATTTCTAGAGAATACAGTCCGTGTTTTCTTTTTACGTCGTAAAAATTGTAAGGATATAGATTTTGAGTTGTAGTCTTGTTTACACTCCATACTATCATCGGTGCCATTGTCATTCATTATGTCATTTGGCGCTGGAATACGGAATGCAAAACAGGAAAATATTAACAGACCGTAATAAATTAGATTTGTAATTCTTAATAATTCATTATAAAATTTAGATAAGCAAACAGCTAGCTATCTGAGAGTCTGTGTTTGTAGAAATATTCTCTTGGCAATCGTTTTGCAGGTTATATAAATGAGCGAGAGAGAGAGAGAGGCGCATTAAGCGATTATCTGATATGTGTGATATGTTGATTTGTGATTGTACGGCATAAATAACACTATTTCTGCGCAAAATAGTTAGTGTGGTCAGTACGTTTTACTTCTTTTATTATAAATATTTTCTATTGGAATGTTGAATTTACTCTGTCCAAACAGACAGCAGAAAAATGGACTCTTTAATCATAATAATATCCTTGACAGTGTACAGTAAAAGTAATCTGTGATGGTAATTAGTCAAATTTACTTTCAAATAAAGACTTATTGTAGTCTCACTTACTCTATTTTATAAATAATGTATACCTGAGTTTATACATAGATGTAGATTGAGGATTTAAAAATTGCGCAAAAATTTTTTCAAATAACGACCTAAAAATATTCTATAAAAACATAATCTAAGAGATTTTAAAAGTGGTTTGTCCCAAAAATCTCATTGACTGTTATTATTATTGTTGTTCCCTTGGATTCCTAGTGGAAGATAAGGCTTCAACTGCACGTCTTCACTTGCCTCTGTCTTGCTTCTGCTGTACTTTTCACCTGTATCCATGTTAGTTAGTCCATACTGTTTCACAACTCCTCTTCATACGATCTTCTCCATGTCACCCTTGCATTGACGACCAACTCGCCGCTTCCCTTTCGGCCCGGTTTCACTCGAGCAGTGGCCTGATGCACACGCGATGTCACCCAGTGGCCTCCTCAGTGAGTGTCCGATCCATCCATCTCCACTTTCTCCTGCATATTTGTGTTGGGCGCTTGGTTCTTGTTTTGTCTGTTCTCATAGTTTCTTCTTGTTGGTGATTCTTTCCAGTCTGGCCATCTGATCTTCAGTATAGAGCCAGCGAAGACAGTTGTTACCTAGGTATAAATATCATAATTCATTGATATTTGTTGTGCATCACTGGCGCTGAGATAGAATGCTTGCCAGCTACTAAGGTAGTTCGGGGTTCGACCCCCTGACCAACGCACTCCCCAACCTTGCTTACCTGGTAATAAACCTGGCAAAAGCTGGAAGGTTAGGCGTGGGACTAGCGGTGCTACGCCGTAATAGAAATAAACACCACTGTTACCGAAATTTCAAATCTCTAGCTTGAAGCCAGCCTATGCTCCACTGGGAACGTAAGGGAATAAAATAAAAAGTGTAATCTATTTTTTTGTTTTGTTTATACACATACCTTGACTGTCTGATGTTGAACCGACTCCATTCGACCAAAATTCAGTTAACCGCGTATTCGATGACATAAAATCAGTCATCTTTGTCAAGCTTTCACTTTCACTCATTTCTTCATCCGCATAATCATCGTCATCGTTATGTACGCCAATATTATTATTATTATGATTATTGGCGGGATGTTTTGTCGCCTTATAGGGATCATCTGTTTGATTCTCTTGACTATTATGACTTATTTTTTTGACATCATTATGCCTTGATGATTTAAATAAACGATTTTCACACGGAACTATTCCCGTGGGTGTTGTCATCCCTGTTGACATATTTAAACCCGTCTGATTTGAACAATTCAAGGCATACTGTTGTTGTAATTCGTTTGACCAATTCGATGTTGGGCAGTCAGCAGATAGACGACTATGTAGATTTAATAGGTTAGCTAAATAAGCTAACTGACTATTATTATTATCATTATTATTATTGTCATTATGACTGGCATTAACCATATTATTATTATTACTAGTGGGACTTATACTTTTGACTTCGTCGTTAATCTTGTTTAGAGGGTTATTTATACTACTATTGTCATTGATACAATGATTATTATTAGCAGTAGTATTACTGAATAAAGCTGAAGTGGTAATTGGTGGATTTCCCGATGTGTTCACTGGACTAACGGTTTTATTCATTGGTGTGTTAGTAGACAATGTGACTGTCTTATTTCCAATATCTGGTAATGCAGAATTCTGCAACCAAATGAGTAAATCGTTATTACTATTATTAGCAGGATTAACAGTAGTATTGATGACAGGATTAGGATTGTACATACACTGTTGACTGACATTACACAACCCCGTCATTTCAGCTAGTGTATTCATTGGATTCACAGGATAATTTCCTGAAATGTTATTATTCCATAATGTTGTTGTTGCTGTAGATGATGCAATTGACTGAGGCGTAAAAAATAATTCTGATTTCAACGGATGATTTGATTTGTCTGTTAGCAGGATTGATGACAATTCAAGTAGATTGTACAATGTCAGGTGTTTTTCATCACTCCGCTCAGTCTCCAGTGAATAGGCCTTTTTGATTAAATCTAATAGAATTTCTGAATTTGTTGTATTCACCAGTAGGCGTTGAATCATGCCGATTGTATTGAAGTAAGCAGATTTATCCATATTACTATTATTAGTAGTAATAGTAGTAGTAGTAGTAGTAGTAGTAGTATCGCTATTAGGGTTTTCAAATGTATCTGTGGTTAAAATTGGTGCTTTATAGGCTAGATTCTGTGAATCTGTACGACTAGAATTAACTGAAATACTTGAAGTTTGATTTAATTGAGAGTTAGCAGAGATTGTTAAACAATCTGACTTGTCTATAGCTGAAAAACAAGAAGAACAGGGAAAAACAGATCAATTATATAGTAATAGCATAAGCATTTCTTTCTAAATGAATACTATTCACTCTTCATTTGATGAAAAGGGTACCAATAGTAAAAGCATTTGTAAATAAAAAAAAGAAGTAACAACTGGTTAAAAATGCAAAGAAAATGAGGCTGTTAAGAAGAGTATAAGAAACTATGTGGTCTATTGAAGTGAACAAAAAGAGACTTGTTATGAAACGTTCTAATAATTAAACTGAAAGGAATGTGCCATCCATGCGATTAAATGTCATCCCAAAACAATAGTGTTTCTAATGATTACATTTCATGATTATGCAGCCAACTTCAGTTAGTAAAACACAAAGATTTATGGAGTTTAAATTTATAGACAAATTAGCAAAACATTTAATTGGTGGATAGTGACTAGCAGTGGAATGCAGGATGTGCATTTCATCCTGTTTGGGACTCGTCATCTTTATGTAGTTGCATTCCACAGTGAGTGATGATATCCCCAATGAAACCTGAACCCAGTATCCATCGTTTCAGAATTCTGATTTTCCCATTGGTTGATTGAACCGAAACTAATTAAAAATGAATACTAACTAACATCTACTGCACAAGAGGTGGATCTCAGGACACATTTGGTCTAGGGAATAACGCTTGGATACTGGATTTCAACCTCAATAGGAAGACTATCACTCACTTGGGGAATTCAAATCCAACCAACTGACTAGTCCAAAATAGGATGAAATATACACCCTGGATTTCATTGCTAGTCACTACTTTCTAGATTACTTCAATTTAGTTGTCGTTGGACATCGTTGTAGAATTCGTACTAGGAGAGAACATTTCAGTAGAGGCCAAAAATTTCTGTCCACTTATACTAAGGTAATAATAATAATTTGCTTTATTCCAAATCAGTACTTGTGATACATAATGGAATTCTCAGCATTTTACTACAGTATTGCATCTAGTTAGTACATTATCAATAAATAAAATTCTACATAGATTAAGGAAATATCAGTTCCTTATGACAACAACATATCGGCATGTCGGTAGCAAAGCCAAAATTGAACAGAGTGTTTGAAGGTGTTAGAAAAGTAGGTTCTAGCATATTTACTCGCGTAAGCAGAAGAAAGAAACAAGGCAGCACATAACAGGGAAAAAAGAGAGAGAGAGAGAAAAGGAAAAGAAAGAAAGAAAACGTTGTACCCATAAATGATATGAGTTGGAAAGACGAGATCCAGTTGTTCTACTGACTGTTTAATAAGTTGTAGGCATCACGCCTAATGCTTTCTTTATCGCACAGAACACGAGTCAAGTAGGGTATGGTTGGGTTTTTGTACGGCTTGTAAATCTAACAAGTTTAGTTTCTAGAAAAGTAGAAATTATTAGTAGTAGTATATAAAAGGGGCCAATTTCTTCAATTGTTTCTTTTCTTTCCTTTTCTTTTTGTCAGTTTCATGTCTATTTATCATACAACAGCTAACCATTAGATTGATGTCCAGTTAAATACAATTCTTTACCATTCAAGAATCGAAGCCCTGAACTGATTCATATTCCAGACATAATGTCACTGAATGAAACCGGAAATATCAAAGATAGGGGGGCCAGGGGTATAAGCATTTTAATTAACATAAATAGATAAACAAATAAAGCGGGAATTATACAAGAGAAGTATAATTAGTTCCAGGTTTTTTTATTCCTGTAGTGTAGTCTAAAAGCGTAAAAGTTTGTATTTTCCTTTTATATAACCACTTAAACTACTACTAATACTAATGCTGATAGTTCCAGTAAGGCTGGTTATAACTCATTGCATAAATATCACTGATATCCTTATTTTTTTTATTCGTTTATATTCCCAGTGGAACATAGGGTGGCTTGAAGCTAGAGGCTCGAAGTTTCGGTAATAATGGTGTTTATTTTTATGGGACGGGGTTGCTAGCCTCATCCGCGACCTTCCTTCTTCACCAGTCTTATTATTGGCTAAGTGATTGATGTAAAGGAGTGAGTCGGTGAACCACCTGCGTAGTTGGCAAGGATTCTATTGCTGTGCCACCGACGCACCCTGATATACTAATTATTTGTATTCTAATAAAAAGTGGTGAATATATATAGTAAAATTTTTAGTGAGCGCTTTGTTTTCCTTAATCTGAGACGTTGTCTGTATCATTTATGTAGTCAATATTACATGAGATTCCCAAATGTGTATTCTACTTTATTCATTAACTAGTTTCTAATTAGTTAAGGTACATCTACCTGTTGAAAAGTTTGAAATCGAAGTGAAAACTTATATGACTGACTGCGAGATCCCTTAAAATGCCAAACTATTGACTTCTGCATTAGACATAAACATGATCTACAACGACTGATCAGTACACATGATGCTTGTAGCATAGAGGGGACTTTAATAGAAATTAAGTCTAACACAAAATGCCCTGGTATAATTAAATCTTCTGACCTTGCTTGCTCATCTCATATGTTTTTTCGACCTCCAAGAAAGTGTTCCGTTTAAGCTACTACATTAGGAAGCTAAAAAAAAGTCTGGAATCGCTCAACCTCTACTCTTACATTTTGTTAACTCGTGTACTTTAATGCTCCCTCTTAGTCTTTCCTGGGCTGGCTACTGAAAAAGGACTATGTCATTTTGTAAAGGGTATTAAAGTTTGCCATTAAGGGAAATGGTGTGCAACTTAGTCAGCTTGTCACTGAACTCGTGCGAGAAGTGCTATAGATCTATATTGTCTGACACTCAATACCCCTCCCCTATATTCTTAATTCTCCTCATCTTGTGCCTCGTCTGGTAGAACTAGAAGTCAGTACAGCAGATTATATGCTTGTACTACGAAGTGTAGGAACTCAACGATACCATATTTGGCTAGCCCATGTTCGATGCGATAGAGGCGGTGTAAAGCGTGAAACCTAAGAATTACTATGTTGTTAGCATAATAATCGGCTCTTTTATAATCTCTTATTTGTATTCTCTGGTGACACTATCTCAGTTGATGGACCATCTTAGCCACTACAAATACTAAATAAGAACTGCCATTAACAATCCTGTAATATTATTTTTAATGTTATTCGATAAAATTGCATGCAATATTGTACCGAATACTAAAAATTCCACACACTATCATTAGTACTATGTACTTAATTAATCACCTCTGTACATTACTTGGAAGCAAATTCGTGTACCCAGATTGTCTGAGTAACTGGAAGTGGTACGCGTTAAGATGTCTATAATTCATCTTCGGTGGGGAAAAACTTTCATACATGATTTTTAAAAAAGAAAACAAATATGAAGAAGTAAAGAAAATGAAGGACACGTTCAGATAAAATGTATGAGAATAATTCCAGTCAAAATTTGTTGTTTTAAATGTTAAGTTTGTGTGGAATTAAAAATTTCAAGTTAAATTTAGTGACACATCAACAACTACGCATTTTTAGAAGTTGGAAAGCACAAATTGTTACACTGAAACTGACATCTTTTAATGTGGTAGACATTTTGTGTGCCTCCCACCTCCCCGTTATTTTCTCCATCTTCAGTGACGAATAACTGCTTAAAATTTGGGCTACTGAACCCAACCTTCGTCAATATATTGCATATATTTTCTCTTATTTATTTTGTTTAAATCTAGTCAAATACAATCTTTAATAGTATTTTTAACTCTGGCGAGTATTTGAAACATTCTGCTAAACAGGGAGAAACAGCATTATCCTTGATGGAAGCTTACTCTAATACATGAGATGACCATTTCTGAATAGTGAGTGTCCTTGCTTCTTAAAATGTACTCCCAAAATTTTAAAAATTTGGTATTCAACAAAATGTCGTGCATTTCTCAATGAAGACAAAGAGACGGTATCACAATGGATTGGTTTTGCAATTCAGGTCAGACAGAACTGTGTCACACAGTCTACTGTGAATTAATCTTTTTTGTTGTTTGAAGTTCTTGGATAATAAGAAAATATCAAACAATAAACACCGCTAAAAACCCTATACATTATGTGAATACTGTTTCAGAATAAAGCCATTATTATTATTATTAAATTATTACTTTTCAAAAACGTGTTGTATTTTGAAAGCAAGTTGAAATTACCAAGTGTTGGGGTAGACTGCCAGTGGGTACAGACTGATGAACAGTCCAGTGCTCCGATGGTTCTCTAACTAACGTCAGCTTTTGATCATACTTGTAACCAGGTCAACATTTAATTAAAGCTATGAAAATCCATTTACCTGTCTATTTACAACCTCCTTATTATTATATGTTATTTGAGCATTTCATAAATATAAAGAATTTGAGAATGTACTCAATTTTATTCCATCAACCTTTAACAATTCATGAAAACCAATTAATGTTACAATCATTAGTTTGCCTGAGTGAATTTCGGAACTATCCAGTCAGCATCTTAACTTGCCCATAGCCTTAACCAAATAAAAAAAGTCAGTACTAAAGTTTTCTTTTCGAGGAAGTCATCAATTAAGCTGTACATTTATGTATTTATGATAAATCGGTGAGAAAACTCCAGAATAATTTCCAGTCAAGGGTCAAATCAATAAAAAAAATGCCATAATAAGCAGAGGGACAGATAAATTAAGATTCCTAAATCTAATGACATTTTAATTAATCCTCACGGAGAGAATAGAAGATGTTTGATGTTCTCCGGAGACCATCCGCGTGGTAGGCAAGCATTCTACCGCTGTGCCATCGATGCATATGAAAACTTGGAGATAACCTAATTATTTTCAGTGATAAATTAGTACCGCAGTGGAAAATTTTCAAGGGGATTAACTAGAGGTTGAAGGTGAACACATACATATTAAAGGATACACTCATACATAATAAGTGATAATAATAGTAATAAGCATCTTATTGAAGTGAATTGTATACTAACTAAATGCCCAGACATCGTCGAAGCATCTGCACAAGAAGCCGACATGTCAACCTGAGACCGAGCACTTCGGTCCAATCAATCAACGGGAAAATCAAAAATTCAATTCA